ATGTCACACACCACAGACATGTTCCAAATGGATTAAGGACCGTTGTAGTGAAACGTAATTATCTTTATTTACAATAGTCTTAATGCATCAGCTCTGTTAGAACCTCGTAGCTTTACATTCATGTGCCTGAAGGTCCAGTTTTGATTTCCTATGTATTCACTGGATAGACGGGTCTTTTGTCCACAATGTTTATTCCTAGCGACATCACTTAATTTGATCGATTGGTATCGATCTAAACTCGTCTTGTTCTGCAGTATACCATTGTATTGGCAAATATCAATTATTTGTTTTCTTTTTAGTCATGCCATTATATGTATTTAGTAATGCCTTTGAATGGGATTATATTGAAAGTCTATCAATATAACTCTGTAGTCAGTAAAAGAGAGCTCCAACTGTTGAAGCTGTCACGAGTATATTTTCAGCATTGTTTCCAGGACTCATCTACAAAATGTCGTACATTCGTAGCTTTTGGATACATATTGCTTTTACAGGTCTCATGTTGTGTAAACAATGTCAATATGTATTGTCTGAAGGTAAGTGGAATCAATTTGTCATAACGATTTTAACTTGCTCTCAGTTAAAATGACTTTCACATAATTAGCGCGCATCTAATGGTCTGATTTCGTTAATACAACATATTGATACATTGACCGTTGAGCACGTAGCATACAGCATGCTATGCCTGTGTAAAAGTTATACATGAAAACACTTAATATCTCATCATATGTTTAATGTGGTGGTTGTATCTGTTCTAGAAAGAAGGTTGAATGCCACTTGTCTTTCCGATGATCTAAACGACGTGATAGACGTCTTAAATTGGACTTCGGTAGCATTTATTCAAGAAAGAAACGAAGGTAAAATGTTCGGCGGATTTCCTTAACTCTGTCAACAGAGCGATATCGAAATACGAAGCGGGCGTTGCAGTAATGTTATTCTCCTTCAGTTCAGATGAAACGATAATGACGAAGAGAACATGGAAATGAAATCAAACTGATTGTTCAACCATTTCTCAAATGAACTTCAATTGTATTAAAAATAATTGCTTAAAACACTAGTAAAATAGTTCTAGTTTGAAATAATCAGTGTTTTTTCTTTATTCAAGGAATCCGTTTCACTGAACACATGAAGCTACAAATATACTGTTTAGATAAACTAGACAGACATATTTTAAGGGATATTCACACTCTTCTCTTTCCCGACATAAATGTGATCATTGCATTGAATGACACATCAACTCGGTGGCTTTTGGAGCAGGTGAGTCAGTTACCAGTATATGGCTTAGTGATCCACGCAAATACAAATATTTAATCTGACTTTTAAATGTGTAAGAATGCTCTCATATTGTTAAAGAGATATTCACACTGTTTTCCCGACATAAATGGGATCATTTCTCTGAATGGCGTGGCTTTTTACTCTCAATCAAGTCACCTCTATTGTGTACATATTTGAGCATTGAGTTTGCTTCAATTCTGTAGTCCCATCTACTACATGTATTTAGTATGCATATGTACTGAGACTATAGGGATCAGGAATATTTGGGGGGATATTTTCATGAAATTGTGTGCTCAGCCTTCACTTCGAAAAATATCCCAAAAACTATTCATGATCCTTTACTTTTCGTGTTCAGTATATATGTTATCGATTTATGCTTATGTAAATATATGACATGAACATTTTTCACTTATTTCAGCTGGACAATTTTGATTTCAATTCAAACCGTACAACAGATTTCAGACATAATTCGAGAATTATCATTCTGGCGAACAGCATGTCGATGCTACACGCAATGACAGTAAATCACCTAGAGAACGTTGCTGTCATTGTGCAAGATGATACATCCTGTGAATTTTCAGTACGTGAAATTGTTTCGTTGTAAACACACAAGAGATGGTTATTACATCAACAAAATGTTGTTCTTTCTAATGTTGCAACAAAAACGAATAAGCAGTAAACATTATACATTTTAATAGAACCGAATAATGCGTTTCCTTAGTCATGTTCTTGACATGGTGACAATATCACACACAATCACAAGAATGCATGGTAAATTTATAAGGGATAAAAGAAGGCAGCTATCATGTTTCTTTATTATATTTGAGTTTCGTCAGATTGGAAAATGGAATCTTTTTATCCGAGTTTTTCTCGCCATAGATTGAAGCGCCAAAACATAATACATGTACCTTGCACAGATCAGGTTCACCATGCTCATGATGAATGTATCCTTAAGTATTCGAGGGGCGGTGAGGTAGCCAGGTGGTTAAAGGTTCGATTCCCCTCATGTATACTATGTCCGAAGCCCATTTATGGTATCCCCCGTCGTGATATCGTGATTTAGCTAAAGAGGCGTAAACCATATTGACTCACTCACTCACTCACTACTGTATATGATATATACGGTGGATTCCAAAGTGTGAAGAGTAATTGTGATGTCTCGCCACGTCACGTCTAACAGAAGGATTGAATTAGATTGACCAACGACTCAATGATAAATTTCAACCGAATGTACAAAAAGGATTATCAGTATATTGGCAAATTTTAGTTAATATTCGTTGTTAAATTAAATGTAACGTAAATGAATTTTAACATAAATATAACGTTATCAGATTTGAATTCGACACCATATTGATAAGATTCCAAATGCACATTTTAACAAAAATGTATTTCAAACAAAATGCCATTTCAGGACAGTTCCTCAAATGTGTTTGTTTCATATTTTAGACCAACCCAAGAGCACACATGTACACATTGCATAATACTCCAGAAGGGAAAGTATTCATCTCCGTCCCTGGCAAGAAAGAAACAAACGCAACCCATTTGACAAGAATGTATCCCAACACACAGTATGGATACAACAACAGGCGACTGTTGGTCTCTACGCAAGAGGTATATGTCTTGATTTGTCCTTAATTTTCCCTACGTCTCATCACAACTAAACTATGTAGAGTGGTTAAAACTAAAAAAGCCTAAAAGTCATTTTATTTATAAAAGTACAAGGTTATTTTAGATACCTCGATTTGCTGCACTTTCCGCGTTCATTTCATTTCAGTCAAATCCATACGTCTTGAAGCAAATCATCAATGGGACGGCAACATACACTGGCTATATCTTTGATATCCTGGAAACAATCTCCAAGAAACTAAATTTCAGGTATTATTATTATTTATATATACAGATTAAAATAAACAAATGCAGCAAAGTGGGTTTCGGAGATCCTGGCTCAGTCAGACTGGTTAGGCTCATCATCAGCTCAGGGCACTTGCCCCCTCTTCACGAAGCCCAGACAGTGAATGGGAATTCTCCCAGGAAACGCTGCCCAGTTGCACCCACCAAGTACTTTTCGGAGAATGTGACGACCCCCAACACTGCAGCCTTCTGCATTACCCAGATTGTCAGAAGGGTTGTATCTTGGCAGCAAACCCGGTTACTCTCCCAATGTCAGTCAACTTATTGGGAGGTACCAAACCTAAGGCACCGAGAACAATAGGGAGTCAGACAACTTGGTACTTGGGATGCAAGCGTGACATTTCGTACATTTGCCATATTCTTCCTGAACCTTGTAAATCACATTAATGTCACAAGGGATAGAAAATTTAATGATATATATGTTTTTATTGGATTTATCAAAAAGGACAAGATCGGGTTTGTTGGCCTGGATCAGTCTGAAGCTGTAAACGGACCTATTCCAAAGAATTTGTATGTATCATTTTCGGTGACGCCCTCTACATATTCCGGGTCGTACCATGGATGGACGTCTGTGTCAAAACCACAAGCATGTCGAAGACGGTAATAAAATGATCGAGCTACACCATCATGTCGCTTAAGATACTGTGTTTGTAACAAAGCAAGGAATCCACTGACAATGTGTTGGACCGTCTCATTAAATTCATTGCATAATCTACATTTCGTATTTATATTTTGATGCAAAATCACACATTTGTAAGTGACTAGTCCTGAGCAGGAGACAGAAAGCCTCCTGTTTCACTTTTCAGGCTAGCCGACTTCATCCAAGCGACAAACTCCGTGAAGTTGTTGTCTTCTCAACATGCTGCATATAAGCTCGATGCAGCCTCTCCTGGGCCGTTTTCATATGGCACTTCGCTTGGTTGACACTCACATCTGTACCGTCCAGCAGTGCAGAACCATAAATAAGATCAACATTGACATTGAGATGTCCCACATCCTTGGCTCGTTTAAGAAAGCTGCGGAAAGCTTTGTTTTCATCATGAGTCATGCTATGCTTCACAAGTGCGCCATCAGACAAATGAATATGTGCAAAAGAGCACAATACAATTCTCTCATGAAGAGGCTCCATTTTCATCCAACCACGCCCTCGTGGAGATTAGTATGTCGATTTCATTTTCATTTTCTATGCCTAACAGTTATGATGTCATAGAAGCGCCTGATGGTCGCTGGGGCGTATTCGTAAACGACTCTTGGAATGGCATGGTCGCCCAGCTCAACAGAAGGGTAACTATTTTCTGAGTCAACCGAAAGTTATGTCCTTGAGAAAAAATATTATTATATTAGTAAATATGCATACAGTGAAACGGCGTTAATCCGAAAATAATCAAATTTAAGGATGGATTAGTTAAAACGTTCTCCAATGAATAAGGGGTTTCTTGACTCAGGTTGGGTTAAAACTAATTGTGCCCCAACTAATGAAATGCATGATTATAATATGTTCAAAACCCGTGAAGATCCAGGGTAGAATACGTCTTCAGCAACCCATGCTTGCCGTGAAAGGCGACTGTCGTAAGAGTCGACTAACGGGATCGGGTGGTTAGTCGCTCTAACTTGGTTGATGCATGTCATCGTTTCACAATTGCGTGGATCGATGCTCATGATGTCAATCACTGGATTGTCTGGTCCAGACTCGATTATTACAGACCGCCGTCATTTTAGCTGGAATATTGCTGAGTGTGGCGTTTAACAACAAAGAAACAAATATATGTTCAATGAAGGTGATCTACACCTCGTTCATCATTACCTTTCAGGAAGTAGATATAGTAGCTGCCGACCTTACTGTTCACTACGGAAGAGCACAGGAAATAGATTATATCTACCCGGCCTTTAAAGTTGATAGAACGGATATAATATACAGGATGAAGACTGACACCACAGGGTCTTTCTACTTAGTCGCAAAGCCACTGAAAGTTGAAGTCTATCTTACTTTCGCCGCAGCTATTGTGGGACTATTTATTGTATATAGTATAGTTGAAAATTACAACAGTATCTTTACTGCGACATGTGATGGAACATCGACAGTCTTCCTTCGACAATTACCAAGTATTAGCTGGCAATTCGTTGGCTCCGTTTTCAGACAAGGTTGGTGAACATTTTTTTCGACAAGATGCTCTGTTGACATGAAACATTAAATGCTCTAATTCGTTAGAACTATTTCGCGCTGTATTTGTAATCCATTTGTTGAAAATTCCATGGGAGATAAGGGAAAATAAACTGGAAAAAACAGGCAATGTCAATATATATAAATTGTGTTTTTGTAATATTTTGATTGAACATAAAATGTGTAACACAGGTTTGTGGGCGACATTTTCTGTAGCGTTTATAAACAATATTTTTGCATTTGTAACGCACGTGGTGCTTTTCAATCCAAAATATTAATCAGGCAGAAATAGCAGAAATTCCGATTCATATGCATAACTAAACAGATCAACCAGGATAGGAGCACACTTGATGGCCATGGAGATGGTATTTACTTGTTACCTAATTGTCCTATCTCACAATTTCACATAGATCAGGTTCAGATTGCATGAGGAGGTCCAACAATTTCATCCGAAATACTGTCCCAAATTGGCGTGTGACTCCTTCACTCAAGGTTCAATCTTTTAATTCTGCATTTGTACCACTGTTCAATATTTAGAAAACGGTTCATGTGTCCCTTTCAGATCACTTGCCTGAAAGTCCAATGAGCGTTTGCCATGGCCTGGTTGACGTTTATCGCAGTATCCAGTGTGATATAATTAATGTAATTATTGTCCTTGTCGCGCGTGTCGTCGCCAGAATGTCGTGTCTGGGTAGGGCAATTTAATCCAAGAATCACAGGCTAAGGACTATAAGAACAGGAACAGGGACAATCACATGCTTGTTCCAACCAATGAGGACACCCCAATTTCTTCACGATTTTCGAATCAGGTTTTCAAAATGGCCGCCTTTGCAGCCGTCAATGAGCAAATGTCGTTGCGCACTGTCCGTCGTCCGTTCCGTTGTCCGTCCTTGTTAACGGTAACATTTTCGACATCTACTCTGAAATTATAACTTCCAAGTATTTTAAATGAATGATCTCAACTCTGGTTTCTGTAGATACTACTCACTGAATTCCAAACCGATTTGGAACATGGCCGCCATATCTATATACCCATTATTCGGCTAGTACTTGGACATCTCTTTTTCAAAATGTATTGACATTTAGCATATACGTAGTTAGAAGTGGAGCCTACATATATCTTCTGGGTTTGTTATGTGGTATTAAGGATTTTGTCTTTGATTCGACCTTTGATTTGATGGTTTGTGCCACATTTGTGAACATTTTGTCATAGGTATACTATAGTAGGAGCAAACTTGGAAATTATCTAAGAACCCATCTAACCAAAGTTTAATTTACATCAACCTTGTCTGCGATTATCTATTTCACCACTTTTGCATGTGGCCCAATTTATAAACATGCTAACATACTAGTACCTTAGCACTTATGGTTGCAGTAGAAGAGTTCCTTGAACGTGTTATTTTATGACCATCTAGGGGGCACGGGTGGCCCAGTCGTCTAAGGCGCCGCGATTCGCTGTGCAGAGTTGCGTCCCGTGGACACGCCAGAAACCTTTGATTGTGGGTTCGAATCCCGGTTCGCCCTGATTATGTTTCTAGGTTTGTCAGCACCATACCCGTGCTCGTGGGTTTCCTCCCACATTAAGCTGACAGGCCGCGATATAACTGGAATACTGTCAAAAGCGGCGTTAAACACAACTCACTCACTTACTATGACCATCTAACCCCCATATTAGTCTATTCTTGGGAAAGGCATGAGGTAGTAAGTAGCCATTGTGCAACGAAATCCCAATGCAACATGCAAAATGCACTACCCTGACTTATGAAAGTCAGTAGCCAAGCTGTGAAAGTAACATCCTTTTCATTTTTAACTCTGTTTTCTGTTTTATTAGGATTTCAAACAGAGCCACAAACATGTGCCGGAAAGATTCTTCTCTCTTCTTCTTGGTTGCTCGTTATTGTCATCTCGTCTGTATATAGTGCCAATCTGATGGCCGTTTTAACAGCTGGGACAGGATCGTTAAAGATTTCAAGCATCAGTGACCTCGTCGACAGCGACTACACTGTAGGCATGTACGACCTCGGTATAGCCATTGACGTTATGAAGGTAATAGTATAATAAATTATTTAGATAAAGATTTCCGAGGGTTTACCACAGGTTTGATGAACTAAATATCGACTGTATTTGTATCAACTAAATATTAACCGCATGTTTGAGACTTGGGTAGAATGTACTTTGTATGTACTTTGTATGTATGGCTGCACTGTTATAGAAATTAACCTCCTTCTAATTGAACTGCTTATTTATTTGTCTTTTGGCAGGGATGTAAAAGAGTTGTTTAAGGGATTTCGAAATTTCAAATAGCTGCCATTTTCAGCTTACAAAATTGAATTGCACATGGACAATATGTCTACCGTAACGAAACTATTACAATAGCATTCAAGGCCTCGGTAAAACTTTCAGAACGTTTTTTTGTTGACATATTGAGGACATTTTCAAATTTGACGCATCAGTGACGAAAATGATGTCCGATGCATTCCCTATTTTGAGTGCGGCGATAAACAACAAACTAATTACACAATGATGTGAAGGGATAAAAATCCTATTCAAGCAGAAAACACAAAGCAATATTAATAAAAGCGAGGATGCTCTTATTGTGTGAAGCCCTTGAAACTAAAACTTTCAAAAGGTTTTATGGTGGACATGTGGAGGACATTTCCTAATTTGACACACCACAGACAAAAATGATGTCCATTGCAATTCCCAATTGTATGTGTACAATGTGTTTCCGTCTGTTTGTTCAGGTGAACAATTAACTTGCCTTTGCATTTGCTTGTGTCGGGTGTTACCACTGGAGAAGGATACGCTCACCTATTTCGCGAACAGATATTATCACTATTTGAAAGTAATTCAAACACATGCTCATGATAAAGTCGGAATCGTAAATCGACTCTCCTTTTTCTTATATTATGGAAAAGGTTTTGTCGCTTTTATTCGTAATAAGTGACTTTCAAATAGTGATGATACCAGGTTTGCAATGAGATGAGCATATCCTGCCCCACTGATGGCACCTATTACATACACATAAATAGGCAAGTCAAATGTTCACCTGAAAATACCCGGGAACACATGGTACATATCAAACACATGAACATGATATAGTCGGAGTCGTAAATTGACTCATTTACAAAGAGATGTTTTGTGGCCATGGAAAGGGTTTTCTCACTTTTATTTTGTATGTGTTTTTTGCTTGAACAGGATGTTCATCCCCTTCACATCATTATTATTAGTTTGTTGTATATCGCCGCGCTCATCAATACTCCAGCTGTATGGTGACTTCTTGTCAATCATCGATACATTAAAACCAGCATTGTATATATATTTATTGATTGCTGGAGACAAATTGTAACCCTGAATCTCTATGGATATTACAAAATATGTTATCAGAGATCTGACGACATTGTACGGGTTATAGGGTAAATGATATTTTTCGGTGCATTATTATTTGCAGAAGCTCCAGGTATGCCAGACTGAGGGCATCTGCAAATGATAATGCCTTGAAATGTAGCGTATCCGTTATTATATATATATATATATATATATATATATATATATATATATATATATATATATATATATATATATATATAGTGGAGAGCTTTGTCCTTAACATGTAAATATCCTGAAACCAAGTATGATTGACTGTGTTGATGACTAATTATTGTTCAACCTAAATCACTCTAAAGTTCACACACTTGTGTCAGTCATGCTGGGGTGCCTGGATCCCACATGGAACCAGCGTGCTGAAACCGTTGTCATGCTCAGTTCATTCATCAGAATGTTTTCAACTTTCTCGTAAAAGATGCCTACTGCATTGGATGTGTTGCATGTGGTGAGTCGTCGATCATCCTTAATCTTTCTTATGGTGGCAGTTGAAGATGTTTGATCGTCTTTGAGTCTTCCTAATTAAGTTGACAACATGTCCGCATGGAAGGCTGTTGGGAGTTTCAGTTGGATCCCGTTACGGACATACTTGATGACAACGCGGAGGCAAATGTACTGTGAATAGAACTAGAGAATACCCAGTCACTTTGATGCCTACAGGAATATAGTGACTTGTTATGTATTTGGTTCAAATACAGCCAGTGAGCATTGAAAGTATTGTGCTTATTTTAAACTGTTATGGGTGTACTTTTGATTATTCATAGTTAGGCTCAGAACCTTTCCATCACCCGTCTTACCTTTTCATATTTGTTTATTTGTTTGCATGTGATAACATCATTCCAAATTAATTTATACTTTAATAACATGCATATTTCTTGTATTTGAACAGTCATCCCAAAGGACAGATATTCGTCGACTTTACGACAAAATGAAGAAATTAAGTGATCACGACACAGAAATATTCCTCAATGATGAAGATAGGCAAATGGCAAGAGTCAAACAGGGAATGCATGCTTTCGTCGTATATTTATCCTTTGGGGAAGCACAAATAGCTAGCGACTGCGATCTTGCACTTGTTGGGGAACCTGTGTCCTGGTCGAATGAAAGACTAGCACTTGCAATACCAAAAGATTATCCGCTCAAGTCAGACATCGAAAGAGTGTACGTAAAACATTACTTTGTCCTCACAAAGATAATTTTTAAGCAAATCAGTTTGTCTCTTTTCATCTTCTAAAAAATCCAAATAATTCCTGACAACAGCTTGACAGTTTTTTCTATAAGCAGCAATATGAACTTCATCATGTAGGGGTCGGGTAGCCTAGTGGTTAAAGCGTTCGCTCGTCACGCCGAAGACCCGGAATCGATTCCTGACATTGGTACAATGTGTGAAGCCTATTTCTGGTGTCCCCCGCCGTGATGTTGCTGGAATATTGCTAAAAGCGTCGTAAAATCAAACTAAGTCATTCACTCATCATGTGGCGATTCATAAATGTTCACTTTGAATACTATTTCAGCATGCGTCAGCTAAAAGAGAGTGGTATTATGGAGGTTTGGTGGAGTAAGCGGTTGGCGAATTACAGTGACAATTCCTGTGGCGTCAAGAGAAGTGTTAAGACAATAACACTACAGGATGTGTTAGGCGGATTTCTTGTTGTGTGCGGAGGAATTGGGTTGTCTTGTCTGATGTTGATAACTGAGTTGTGTCGACATCATGTGCACAACATCTGAAAGTACATGTCTTTGTTATTCGTGTTGCCTGGATCCCAGCAAGGAGAACCTGGCCGTCGGTGCCAGAAATGCCCAATGAACACAAAAGACCTGTAAGAACAATTACAGATGGAGCTTGTTTTGAGTCTAGGCCTAGGTTCTAATATTAATATACCAACGGGAAATAGCAACAGAGCTTTATATAAAATGTTGTAAATGTTTTGTTGATGTAAATATGAATTGTCAATGCAAGAGGATACAGAATGGATGTCTGCCTGTGTGTTGGAGGCATGATACTCACACACGTGGAATGTGAAAAGCACACAATGGTTGTTTAGCTGTCACGTCCTCCTAAAACACTTTTGTTCAATCATAAACAACGATTATGCAATAACAAGGCTTCTTGAGAATCAGCGTCTCCGCACCGTGGGCATGCTGCGAACAGGAATTGAACAAAACGAAGGTGTTAAACATTTGAATGTTCATCAGAACACAATAACATCTCTTTGGAGACGTTATCTACAACAAGGTAACGCTCATGACTTTCCAAGGGCCGGTTGTCCACGTGTGACATCACATCTACAAGACAACCATATTCGGTAGGTGCATCATCATTCATCTGATCAGTGTTTTATCACAACACCATCACTGACAAAGCCCATACCTGGTCACATGAGACAGAGCGACACGCCATAAAAGAGAGCTTGTGTTGAACTTTGGCCTGAAGAAACAGTGACCATGGCAGTACAGCAATATTAACAATATCAGCAACACGTGCAACATGATGGCGGGCAATATCCTGTTGCAACGTGATGTAACGTCCCTACATTCTACTTGTCTGAGTGTCACGCTTCCCACAAACAAGCAAACATCCATTCTGTGCGCCGTTCTTAAAATGCCCGTGGAAACTTAATCACGAGCGTTAAAGTCGCGGAGATGTCTTCATGTATATCCACTGAAAGATGCATTACTTAATTTAAGAATGAATTCATTTTTAACCTTATCTGAAGCACAGTTTTATCCGTTAGTATACTCCCTGAGAGTTGAATATTTATACACACTCCAAAAAAAGAAACGCACAGGTAAATTTCTAGAAATTTATTGTACTAAATGAAGTCGATATATTTAATTTAATATCATAGATACCAATATGAACTTTTGGAGCTCAATAGACACAAGTTATCGTTGTACAAAGGCATTGAAAACTGTTCGTTGTCATGTCACATAAGGCCACGAGGTGGCGCTGAACTCAGTATCACGTGTGACCGCCCCGGGCAGCAATCACGGCTCTGCATCTCCTCTGCACTGACTGGATAAGTGTACGAATTCTGTCCTGTGGAATTCTGCGCCATTCTGCTTGATGTGCGTTGGCCAGTTGTGGGAGTGTCAGCGGCGTGTTCTGACGTTGACGTACACGTTGATCGAGTTCATCCCAGAGTTGATTGATTGGGTTGAGATCTGGAGATCTGGAGATCTCGACGGCCAGGGCAGGTCGTTGATGTTGGCACTATGAAGGTAGTCTACCGTGACACGAGCTGTGTGCGGTGGACTGTTGACCTGTTGAAATAGCTCCCTCTGGCGGTCAATGATTGGAGGAAGGTGAGGTTGAAGAATTTGATTCATGTCGCCATTTGCTGTCAAATTTACCTGAACCACAACCAGGTCAGATCTCCTGGTGAAGGATATGGCCCCCCACACCATGACACTACCGCCACCGAAACTGTCGAATTCACGTACACAATGTGTGGCAAAACGCTCATTTCGACGACGATAAACACGTTGTCTTCCACCTCGCCGGTGAAGAAGAAATCGTGATTCATTGATAAACCACACTCGTCTCCACTTTCTCAAATTCCAAGGCTGTAAGGTATGGCACCAACGCAGGGTCGCTGTCTGTGGATCTGTTGCAAAACAGGGACGATAACTGGTCTTCTGGGTCGGATTCCCGCCTCACGAAGATGGTTCCTGGCAGTCTGGTCTGATATCCTCCTCAAACCAGGGATGCGCCCTGCAGTCTCCGTAGCTGTGGCACTGCGATGACGTAGGTGGAACAGTCGAATGTAGCGATCCTGTGCAGGGGTGGTAACTCTTGAGCGGCCGGTTCACGGACGGTCTGCAGTGGAATTGAACTGTGTGTATCGGTCCCAAAGGCTGTGCTGTGGTGGACGTTGAAGTGGCGTGCAACAGGAGACAGCGATTCCCCTCTTTGGATACTTCCTGTGGCGATGTTCCGATCAGCAGCGCTGAGTCTCGGCATTTTCGAACTTGAAAAATGTTGACAATTGAATGACAAATTATTGGTTTATTCCTGCCTTTCATAGCCACTCCCACGAGTTACGAATGCCATAACGTGCACGTGCATTTTGCATTACTGTTTTCCTCCATGACATGTTTGAACAAGTGTCGACAATGGCTGCGTTTTGACGCACCGTTTGTCCAATATCTAGCCACCAACATTTTCCAATTACATATATCCAATTCATATACCGGATTTTTTGTTGTGAAGTCAGGTTCAGTGAACTACATACTACCTGTGCGTTTCGTTTTTGAAGAGTGTATATCAATGTTTATGTTCTGTGTATATAAAAATAAACGCATGTGTATTGCACGGATTACATTCTGTCTGCTTACAGTAATACCTGACTAATATATCCACACTGAACTGATACGACTGCAAAATGACATCACAAGTCTATATGATAAACTTGATAAACGCGAAGGTCGTAAAAACGAGATATGTAATTTCAATAATTGCTCTTGTGTTTTCCGTCACGCTATTAAAAGACTGTTATGGTCTTAGAGAGGCTGTCATGTTGTGGGACTACAATACCCTGATGATCCACTGTGTCCACATACTGTTTAAACGTACTGCAGGAAAATATTTGGCAAGTGTTACATATATTTAGAAACTCGTAACCATAATCTACCTATTGAAACTGGCAGACGGAGAAAAATACCTTTAACCGAAAGGATAATGCACACTTTTTAAATTATCTTACATAGGTGATGAATTCCATTACAGTAAAGTACGATTATAACGAACTCAAAGGGACCACTAATTTTAGTTCGTTATAACCGTAGTTCGTTATAAGCATATATACAGTATAACTACAGCAAATAGTCGGGACCAAATGTAAGTTCGTTATATCCGTCAGTTCGTTATAAGCGTGTTCGTTATAACCGTAGTTTACTGTATTTGTGAATTTCATTTTCTACACAGATTCTACTACATCAAACCCAATATGCATTAAATATATTACTTTATTAAGAATTCACGATTAGGAACATTTGGAAAACTGTCCAAATTCTGTAAAATCATCATGGCATTGTTTAAACGTAGCAAGTAACTTTTCCTCTTATTGAATTGTACGTATATTGCTACCCAAGTGAATCTGTATAAATATACATGCATGCTCGGCAAAGCTGTTTTTGTATCTATTCTATATTATTATGTATATGTATTATGTTGTTGAAATATTTTTTTACCTCTGATGCCGCTGATAGCGGCCTGAGTGTAAATAAAAGTTCCGTTCAGTTCAGTCTCGGTTGTAGTGTGATAATGTACAGTACTAAATTCGATACAACTTCGTTTTGTTTGATTTTGAATGATACAACGTTTAAAGAGCTGTCTAATCACATGATAGTTATGACAAACAATTATATTGGAAGTAACTGATGAAGAGTGATGGGACCTTTGATGCCACTTCCCAAACGAACTATGGCAGCAAATAAATCCCCGGTATTTATTAATTTCCGTAAACCATCAATGATGCGGTGTATTATTTATATAGGACAACACAACAGAGATGTACTCACACTGTGCATCAAACCCGTGGCTAAATTCAATTATCGATATTTCTTTTGAAGTATTTAACCAGTCGATGTCTGTCACTGCAACGAAATGGCATCGAACATTATGGCAATCGATCTTGTCTATGGTCTTATCGCTATCTTCAAAACGGCATGTGCCAAAGTGATCACACGCACCTGTACAAACTAAACAATCTTTTTGTCAACTGAAATGTGTGTACAATTTCATTATCAGGGTTTGGAATGTTCAATTAATGTATCGTTTCCAGACGGACGTTTACCGCAATTTGACAGCTATCGATCTGCACAAGCATATCAACATCACTATTTAATATCATGGTTTCACCAAACATTCCATGTGTGCATATTTGAGAAGGTGTTTGCAAATTCGGAGGTGAAATCGTTTCATCCTGAAGAAATTATATATGACAGTGTAAGGACTGTCTGAAATTCGCGCTCGCCCTTACGATCGGCGGTGTATCCTTTATTGGGCTGTTGATGCTGTTGTGTCTAAGAAGACAGGATTGACATGGATTTCACGAAAACCGGTTAGTGCCAGAGAGAGAGAGAGAGAGAGAGAGAGAGAGAGAGAGAGAGAGAGAGGTCTTCAAGACATTTTATTATACAAAATGGCTTATCAGCTGAGAGACAACTCGGATTAAGTGGTTTAGAGAGAACTATGCCTTTGCAGGTTATTACCAGGGAGTTTTAGATATCTCGATTTGCTGCACGTTCAGCTTTCATTTGGTCAAACCATAACTTCGTCTTCGGCTCAACGAGTAAACGCTCCAATCTCTAGGCTACCACTACCGCCCATAGGTATGCAAGAATTGAAGACTAAGTGTGTGTATGTTATGACCTGCTTGTTCGTTGTCTGTCATATGTTCACAACGATGGTCATATCATTTGAAAATCAGCAACGTCAAGTTTGTGCGCATGTGATCACCTCTGGTAAACATTACATGTTCCTTTTCCGGTCTCAATATGGCGTATGATTAGTATTTAGATTTTAACCTGACGATCTTTGTAATATGTAAAAACAAGTTTGTATTCAGAACAAACAAATGTACTGGTTAGCGACATATATTCCTATTTTACATATGATTATCATGTAGAATATTTGTCGCGGAAATGTTATTGAATATTGTACGAAACACTGAATGTTCTGTACTTATGCTGAGGCATACCACGTGGTACCATTTGTAATGCAGAACAGGGAGACAAGATCAGAAAATTGATATCAACATCGATAGACTTCTAGATGGACTCTTGTTTAAACATTGTGCTAAAGGCGCGCAAACGTTTTGGAATATTCGATAGAACTGATTCATCAAGTTAAGTAAGTCAAACACATTAACCCGTTGTTCTTCTAAGCGTGAAGTTCTGTGTAAGCACACGCACTGCACACGACAAATATTCTTTTTTCTTCAGATAACATTATGCTTTCGGTATAGGAAATGAAGTAAACCTCGGTTTTCCTCAGTATATAATTACTTGAGCTGGTGTGGCGTCACCACAGTTAAACGCCCATAGATGAATCTTTCATTTGCCTTAATTCGAATCAGCAACACATTTTGCCGAATGTCGGGCTATCAAGGTCTTTGGAACCACATTTTCGTTTTAGGTTTCATCTTCAGCAACGCATTTCATTGTGTAACAGTGTCTCGAGGTGAGTCAAATAGATTTCGTGTGTGATTTTCATGCAAATGAACTCATTTGTTTGTTAAATCTGTGTTGTATTACTAAACCTAATCGTTTGTTCTCTAGTGTTCTGAACGTAGATAATCATTGCCTGTAGGCTGAATCGCATCAAGTTGAATTTGGAACCGAACGCCTACAGTATGAATCTCCAAACTTCAATGACAAAATATAATTGACTGGTGTTAGTATTGAAATGATTGGTGTTAGTATTGAAATTGAATGAATCGTAAGTGAAGATACTGAGTCAATTGGCATTGGTTCAGTACATTATCCTGAGGGTTGTTGATCTGAATTAGGGAAACCCTGATACTAACCTTCACTTAAAGTATAGGGCGCTGCTACTCAATATTTGTATACATCATTTATATATTTATCACATCATTTATATATTTATCACAGATATTCAACCGCTCACTGTGTGACGTCACAGTCGAATATAAACGCACGTCAATTGTCAAGCTCGTTGTTGTCGCTGGAATCTGAAATGGACACTCGTAGTAATTATATCATGTTTTCTTCCTAAAACGTATTGCCACACAAACCATATAGCGTAGGATCCACACAAATAGTGGAGCAGTATTTGTTTTAATCATAGGTGTGTGGTGTGATTTGAAACCTCTGAGTC